TTTGACAGCATTAGTTTTTATATTCTCTCAAATCTGCTTTGTTTAGTTTCCATCAAGGGAGATGGTTTTCAGTTGGAACTATTCAGTATAATTAGTGTTAATTGCTGCATGAATTGTTGAGAACTTGCCAAATATAATCCATAAAAATAGATGCGTCACACAATGATAGGTCAATAGCTGAGTATGTACCTGATGCAGGATGTAGATGCATATTAGACTTATCATTTAGTAAATATAAGTGTTATACTGGAATATACCTATTCTATTGCTAATAGACTCTCCCAGTTATAATAAGTAGTAGTAGTAGCAGTCACCAGGGCTCAGTGGAGTTGGTGAGTCAGTCGATGTCGGACATTAAAGTATCAACCACCACAACTAGATTGCTGCGTCATTAACTATTATTTCAAGTTCTTAACATTTTGTATGTCAGACCCTTTTAGGACCGACTTAGAGAAATACAAGCCTCCACTGTGAAAACTACTCTACAACAAAGTAGTCATTAATTACATTTTCCAGGTTTTTCCCTTTTTTGTTTGAGTTCTTGGATCCCCATTGTGACCATTAAAAAAAAAAAAAAAAAAAAAAAAATCACCTAATATGGTTTCGGTTGTTGTTCTATTAGTTTATTTAGATCAGTTTCTTTTAAAGGATCGTGTGATGGGATGCGAGCAGATGCTAACTGTTCTACGTAGGGTAGTTTTTGCAGCAACTGCTTTAAATTGGTTTCTAGAAGTATTTTACCGGGGAGGGGGGGGGGGGGTAATTTCTGATTATGAATGATGCACCACCCCAGATGCTCTCTGTTGAGGGTCATGTATCTAGTTAGATTGCGTATAGTTCTTTTTATTTTTTTATCATTAGGATTTAGGTAATTTGTTTAAAAACTATCATATATATGAAGGCAAATAATGGCAGATAGTTGATTTGTTATGAGTAGGAGTATTACATTTATGATTGCATACAGGCCTCAACAATTCCACTGTATAATTTTTTGCATCATGTTTATGTAATAGCATGTTATGAATTTTTGCTTGTCCAGTTTATGTTTAATGATTGAAATGTCCAAAATTTCTATGCTCTCAGATCTGTTAGTACTTTGTTTCTTGTCATGTTTTGCTTTTTGAAGGTCTTGTTTCTTCGATCTTGTTTCCTTTGTTTTTTCCATTAGGTTCTTTTGATGACCTTGTCTGGATGATGACCATTCCCTTATTTGAGATGGGATAACTTTGTTCATCTATGTCCATTTCTATTGTATCTTCAATGATGTATTGGATTGTATTATTTCTTTTATGAACCTTTTAATTCTCTTTGAATATTTGGAGGGTTCTATTTCTTGAAGGATTTTTTTATATTGGATTGGGCTTTTTGGAGTTATTAGTTATGTACTTACAGATTTTTTTTGTTTGAGGTCGACAGGATAGTATCTGTTTTGACTGTGGCAGTTTGGTTTATGTGTGATATACTAAATTTTAGTAGTTCTATTAGACTTTTTAAATCATTTATTAGAGTTTTAAGGTATTTGTTTCTTATTGCATTGTTCCCTTGAATGTTATTTTGGTGATTTGATATTTTAGTAATATTTGCATAGGATGTTGGAAGTGAATTAGTTTCAAGCTGTTTTCTGGCTTCTTGGAACAAGATGTTTTGCATATATTTTATTCCTATTTCCTTTTCCTAGATGTTACACACTTTACAATCTGCTGAGTGTTATCTTTTGCAGTTTGAACATAAAAGGAGGCTTTTCACAGGGTGACTCTTTGTGATCAAAGTCAAATTCCCCCCATCTTTGACAGACTGATGCTCTCATACATTGATTTTGTAGATAACGAAATTTCTGACATCTACAAAGACTAAGAATGTATGGTTCTACCTAGGCTATTGTGTATCATATTTTTATTTCTTTTGGTAGGTTTGTTGAATGTCAAAATGTATGTGTTCATGTTTATTGATGTGTCATTTCTTTCTATTTGTATTCTTTTAGCGTCTTACTTTTTTTTTTTTTTAGGTTATTTTTAATTTCTTCTGGTGAGCAGAGTGACAGTTTTGGGCATTTTATTACTCCCTTAGATGAATTAAAAAATTGGTGGGGGTATCATATCATTTATTTGCTTGATTTTAGTATATTTTGTGTCTTTCTTTGGTTTTTACTTGAAGTGTGTCATTTTTTTTTTTTACTGATTTTGGTTCTATCATGGCTGATATGCAACACAAAACGTGACATTTATATTTTTTCACCAGCTAATGATTCTATGACTATGAAAATTGTTTTTTTTTTCCCTTGATATTTCATTGTCACTCTCCATTTCGGAGTTTTCATATTCTTTGTTCATAAGAGTTAACCCAAATAATTTTGTTTTTATATTCACCATCCGTGCACCCAACCCACCTCAGAGTTCCTTCTTAAGAGACTATCAGAGGGGACTAATCCCATTTGAACTGATCCACCAGGGCTATACAGATGGTATAGTTGTGCTGAAAATGGATGTGAGCACCCATATTCCCAACCATATCTACCCAAGTAGAGTACGCTGCAAGAATTTGCAGCCATTATCTTTCATCCCAACTAGCCCTTGCCACTATGTAACTAGCTGATTAGATTGGGCTATTTGCATCCACTTGTCTATCCCAGAACGAAGTGACATGTTTTGTAAAATCCTGGTCATTTTATACCAAATCAGGAGTCCCTCAGTCACCAGGACTCCACCCCCAGGTATCATGGCTAACCACCCATGGCAAACAGGTGGCTCCATTGAGGGGAATTTGTAGTTTTTGAGAATCGGTTTTTGTCATTGTGCATTTTATCTATTGCAATTTTAGAGGTATTTTTATGGACAGGTAGTTTAGGCATGGTGCTTTGTGTAAACAGTTTGTGGATTATGATTTTTTTTTACTAGTTGTTTAAACATGTCTCTTTTTAATTTTGATAGATTGTATGGAGAAACTACATTATTTTCCTGAAGGCACCATCCTAGCTATAAACAGGTTGTAGGTTTATCATACAAGCTGACAGCATGTAAGCGAAGTTTTCCTCATACGAACAATTAGATTCTAATCCATCTTGTTTACTATACTTTGCCTGGTAATATTTTAATATTCTACACAAGACGTGGGTGAAATTGTTTTGTGAAAAAACACAGATTACAGTTTAGCTAATTTCTTTGAGAGTATTAGTAATTTCTTTTACGAAAATATATTATTGGTAATTTTTATTTATTTTTAAATGCATTGCTGGTAACTTTTTAATCACTAAAATGTATTTCTGCCCTTTCTTAGTGTTTTGATCCCAGATTGAAGGTAAACTATTTGCCCATAGCTGGAACCCTAATGGGTGCTACCACCCCAGGACAGGGTGGACCTGGAAAACGGCAATCAAGTAGTGGTTTCACGCTCCTCAAAAACTCCCAATAAGAGGCCTTGTTGCCAGATATAGTTTGTCATACCCAAGACGGAACAATAATTGCAATTGTTGAAATAAAAAGAATTGTCCACTTAATAATAAATGTCTAAGTAATAATATAATATGTAAAAGAAAAAATTTATATAGGTTCAAGTGAAAAAAAAACTTTTCAAGATTTAATAAATCATAAAATGTCATTTAAAATAGACATGTACACCATATGCCGGATTCCAAAGATCCTTCTGTATGGGATGTGTGAAACTGACCAAAGTAATCGCTTTCCCAACCAACAAAGCCTCTCTGTGAATAGGATGCTTGTGAATATGGTACATATTCAAACATTCTGAGTATTCTCTTTTGCGTGGTGGTTTTTATGCCAAATTGATCTCACAAAAAATTTGCATACACCCAACCACTCTCGCCAATTGTAGTTCAGAGACCTTGTCTTTCTTAAATTAAGGCGTCAGGATGGCCATATTTCTTTTTCCTTTCCTTCACTTGTTTTGCACACCAGGCATATACGTGCTTGCTTTGCCACACAAGGTAAGTCATCTTCTCTTCCACACAGGAAACTGACCACAGGAAGCTGACCACAGGCACAAGGGCAACCTCATCTTCGTTTCAAGAATGTCAGCAAAAGGGACATGAGGGTGAGGGACAAAGAAATCAAGAGGTGTGAAGACGTTGCCAATGATTACTTATGCTGGAGACGCAATTTACACAGAGGGCTGGAGTGAGGAGAGAAGAAATGGAGGCTTGCTGCTGGCGAGAAGCATGCTCAACAGAAAGAAAACAACACGACGACATCAGGAAAGCATCACACACATTCATTGCAATCAAGACTGTCACTCCAGTGTCGGCCTGTACAGCCATAACGGTTGTTGTGCAGTCATCAGCAGCTGAAGCATAACTTTTGGGGCATAGATCTATGGTCTCAAGACTGACAGATGTCACATCATCATCAACAACATCAACAGTAAATACAAAGAAACTTATCTTAAAATTCCTGGCTGAAACTATTGATGGAGAATGGGGAATATATATTATATATATGATAGTTTTTAAACAAATTTTTGTTGTTCTATAGTTAACTTAAAATTTTTTTTTTTCATAAATGAAAGTTTCACAAAACAGTGGAAATTGGGTTCGTGAAAGACTAAAAAATTTTCTATTAAAAATTCCTTTTGACAGCTTCAACTTTATGTAAAATCACTTCTTACAGAATCTATATTAAAATTATTTGAAAATGATAATTATCCAAGTTTATTATCATTAATAATAATAATAATAAATATCATCAGTATTATGCCACTATGGTTGATGGAAAAGAGTGCAAACAGTTCCAGAACACTTCCCTGCTTATTCCAGTGAAAATCAGAAAAAAAAAGAAAAAAGAAACTAATTAACAGCTATCGAAATAGAGTCAAACAATTTTTTTTTATCTTGGTGGTGTTGAATCATAATAAAAATGACACCAATATTGGCGACTCAACTAAACTTGAAATTGCTTTATTCTCAAAAGGGAGTATTTTAAAATGGTACTGCATTAAAAGAAGGGGGGGATCATTATTACTATTTTACACATTACACACAAATAATTTACCGTAATTGGTACCTTCTTCAGCAATCGGCTGAAAGTAGCCATCATCAGAAATTGAACTGATGACACTCTGGTTGTCTGGCGTATCCATTTCATCATCACTGGATGGCCGGGAACTAGTCCCTCGTCTAATTCCTGCAAGAAAAATGAAATAAATATACTTATAATAATTATAAGAATCAATATTTACATGGAATGAAAAATCTTATACAAAAAGCAATGTAACGAAAAAATATTTATTGCAAAGCAAATCACCTTTTTATAAAGTTAAACATATAGACCTCTAATGTAACAAGCAAAATCAATACTGTGACATTGGGAAATGGAAAAGAAAGGATTAAATTAAAATAACTTGGGACAGACAAAAAGGGTTAAAAATACAGAATAACAAACTGAAAGAAGAAAGCAGAGACAGTGAGGGACGCAGACATGAACAAAGATGCTGCTCCAATCAACGTAACTTGCTGCTGACAGAATCAACCGATTTTGAGCCCTGTTCCAAGAAATTTGCACCAATAGGCAAAAGTGCCACTAAAAAGATTTTAGTTGGAAGGGTTCATTTTTGTACACCAAGAACTACTTAAAGCTAAATCTAAAATTTGGCCAAGACTATTTTTCATTTTCATTACGTCTGCAAAAAGACATTTCTATTTTTTTTTCAACATAGAAGAGTTTGCCATGGTCCAAGTCAATGCATCAATTACTGACATTAATCAATCCTTACCAATTCTGTGATCAAGAACACAACATGGATGAAGCAAAGTGGACTGAAATGGACAGTGACCAACAGCTGTTGACCCACAACAGTATCAAACAGCATGGAATTGACCCTCCAAAAACTTGTCCTACAACCCGGAGAACCAAGACATCTTCTGGTATAGGCTGCATGTGACAAAGGTTAAACCCAGAATCGACTGCAGGGTGCTGTGGTTATAACATGACTGGTACTTTTTTTTTTTTCAGTTACTATTTTTAGTTAGTCATCATTTTTTTTTACTACTTCCTGTTAGCCCGTAACCAGCACAATATAGCATGGAAGCAAGCACATGGTTCATATTTTTCTTACCCACCTAAATCCATCTTCTATGATAGCATCACTGGTATCTAACCTTTAAAACCTTTTCTCCCTGCATTGGTCTCCTTTAAAGTTATGTTATTGTTTGAACATTTATTCTACATTTGTGTGTCTATATGTAGAATCCTTTCCACCACACGTTCACTGTTTACAAATGTAACTTTCTTGTAACTGAGGAAGGCTGAAGCTACAACAACCAAAGTGTGTGTGTGTGTGTATATATATTAGTTAAATGTAATAAATAATGAATATCTTATGTTTGATCATGAGCCGTTCTAAACTTCAGGTGAAAATAAAAAATTGTCCAACATTTGGATATTTTTTTTTATTAAGCCGTTTCTTGTGACTAGTTTGAAATGTAAGTTTGTTGAGTGTGGATTTCAAACTAGTTGCAGCACAATACAACTAGACATATGGTTCTGTCATTAATATTTCTGTCTCTCGTGATACGTCATAGAACCGTATCATGAATTTATGACCTGCATCTGCTATTCCACAACCGTTATCATCACACAGCAATCTTCTATGTCAACAGAATATCATCTTTGATGGTGAATATCTTCGTTTAAATACAGTGTAACCTGGATATAAGAGAGTTGTCGGGACCGGAGAAGAAGTCTCTTATATCCGGGTTTGGTCTATTTTATATACATTAACACAGGCTCTAATTTGGGACCAGAGACAATCTCTCTTATATCCGGGTTTCTCTTATATCCGGGTTTGGTCTATTTTATATACATTAACACAGGCTCTAATTTGGGACCAGAGAAATTCTCTCTTATATCCGGGTTTCTCTTATATCCGGGTTTGGTCTATTTTATATACATTAACACAGGCTCTAATTTGGGACCAGAGACATTCTCTCTTATATCCGGGTTTCTCTTATATCCGGGTTTGGTCTATTTTATATACATTAACACAGGCTCTAATTTGGGACCAGAGAAATTCTCTTATATCCGGGTTTCTCTTATATCCGGGTTTGGTCTATTTTATATACATTAACACAGGCTCTAATTTGGGACCAGAGAAATTCTCTTATATCCGGGTTTCTCTTATATCCGGGTTTGGTCTATTTTATATACATTAACACAGGCTCTAATTTGGGACCAGAGAAAATCTCTTATATCCGAGCTTCTCTTATATCCGGGTTTGGTCTATTTTATATACATTAACACAGGCTCTAATTTGGGACCAGAGAAAATCTCTCTTATATCCGGGTTTCTCTTATATCCGGGTTTGGTCTATTTTATATACATTAACACAGGCTCTAATTTGGGACCAGAGACAATCTCTCTTATATCCGGGTTTCTCTGTATCTGTATAACCACTCTGAAGATGGCTCATGTGATCTGAAAGCTTAGATCAAGGAACAGCTTAATAAATAAAAAAAAGAGAAAAATTGAAATGCTGGACAATTTTTGTCTTTATTTTCACCCAAAATTAAAGCAACCATATGAATTTTAGAACGTCACATGATCAAACATAATAGACATTCATTGTCTGTTATATATAACAATATGTTTAAATAATGATCTGCTTCCCCAATACTATATATATATATATATATATATATATATATATATATATATATATAAAAAATGGTCTCATGTTTCCAGTGTTTGAATTTTTATTCTACATAAAACTTATTTTTTGAATAATAAAACCCAAACAACAAAACAAACACTGAAATTACTAGATTTTTAATCCGTACATGCCTTCTGGGACACCCTGTATAATATTACCTTTGGTAACCCAACTTACTTATATATAGGATTTGCAATATAAAAAAAAATAAAAAAATAAAAAATAAGTGAAACAAGTTAAAAAAATATTTAATTTGTTCTTAAGTGAACCTTCATTCACTTGCTCTGTAAGAGAATAATTCAATATGAGTAATCTATGACCAAAGGGTTCAATTTGAGATCCTGACGGGGGTTGTCACTAAATATAACCAGTACCTGAAATAGGATGAAGCCAACAACTAAAAATGATGATGACAGTTTGCATAAATGAATGTGTGATAATTCATCTAGGACTTCACTATTTAAACTTTGTTAAATAAGGTCTAAAGATTATACCACTACTCAAGGCCTTTCTTTTTTCTTTTCCATTTTGTGTTTTTTAGTGTTGGGGAAAGTGTAGTAGTAATGGTTAATGAACTGAGAAACAACAGACCGAGTTTGAATTCTGGTCAAGCTTGTTACATTCACACAAATATACTTGCGACTATGAATTCTTCTCTTTCTACCCCCTCAATGTATGGGTTAAATAGCAAAGCTAACTGGGCTTTCTAAACATAGGTGGCAACAAGGCTAGAAGGACAACTCTGAATTCAAACTTTAGTCAACTGAATCTGTATAATAATTAGTAATAATAAATGATGGATTCATTTTTTACACCTTATCAACCCATTACAGGTTATTTAAAGACATGAAATGTTTTTAATTTTATTTTTGGAAATAATGGTTTAGTGATACAAATCTTACTAATTAATCCATGGCCATGAGGTGAGCAGAAGTGGATTTGTACCCTTCTGAAAGGTATCTGTGTATAAGTGAATATGACAAACCAACCGACATTGGTTCCTATATGATCACTGGAGCTAAGCAATGTTTCAATGTTATATGGCCATAAGCCCTACTAATAAACAGTAGTAAAAACTAGTAATAAGTAGTATACTCATTGGAACCAAAAGGCCTCTTATATCTTGTGATGAAAATGGAATAGTTCATTATTTATGAGGTATTAACAGGATATAATACTAAGAAACAAGCAGCTTTTTTGTGTGCATAACATTGAAGGGCAGTGTTCAAAATAACGATGACCCATCCAGTGCCATGCTAACTTGGTCTCATTGACAAACACTAGTATTGCTATCAAAGAGGGTTTTATATATCTTCAAGAATGCTTTGTTCATTCTAAACCTTAAAAATTATAATAAAAGAAAAAAAAAAAAAAAGAAAAAGAAAGAAAGAAAGAGTGGACGGGGAGAACAATTCTTCTAATAATTCATTAGTCATTGAAAGTTTTTTTGTTTCTTTTTTTATTTAATTTATTCACACTACATCCTTCATTTATATTATTTATGATAGCAATTAAAAGCTTATACAATTAATTAGATACAATTTTGAGCATATCTTGTGGAATTTGGTGCTTGAGAGAAGCTAGAAAAAAAAAGAAAAAAAAAAAAAAAAAAGAAAAAAAAAAAGAAAAATTTCTGATGTGTTGCTCTTAGTAGGAAGAGAAATAAGCAGACTGAAATTGCAGATTGAATCTACAGACTGTCAAGGATTACTCAGACCTTCCAAAGTTTACAGAAATATTGTACTTTGGGAACTTTTGCAGTAAACATAATTTTGATGTAAATATCTAACATTTATGAGGATAATATACAGATATCTTTCCTTAGTTTAAAATCCACACACGAGGACATCAATAACTAGTTGGAGCCCTTGGATTGATTGTAAAATATTCCAATAGACTCAATGAAAGGATTCCTGGTAGCCCATGAATTAAAGAAATACAAAAAATTGTACTCACAAGTACAGCCCACACCTTACGAAGAGCTTTATCTATGTAAAATACATATGATCCTAGGTGGTGTTTTTTGTCAACCCTCACCCAAAAGCTCATTTCTGACCTTGGGTCCAGTTGGGACCAGGAAAGAAATTAATATACACCAGAAATTAAATTTATATATATATATATATATATATATATAAATATGAAACTACTGAATGGTTATGAGCATCAACCAAAGTTACCCAAAATAACAATGTAGCTATCTTCTGGGACAATTCAAACTGACAGAGAAATAAAAGCCAACAGACTTGATATTATCATAAAAGATAAGAAATTCAGAAAGTGTATGCTTATTAATGTAGCAGTACCATATGAGAGAAATACCTCCATAAAAATTATTGACCTGGAGATTGAAATTAACAGGATGTGGGGAATGAAGACAGAGTCTGTACCAATAGTAATCAGAGCTTTGAGCCTCATGAAAACATGAATGGATAATTTTACTAATAGTGTCCCAGGTAACATCAACATACAAATT